TAGATCGTTACATAGAATTAATTAAAATATTAATCTGATATATATATAAATTTCTATAGCTAGAAATCTCTTCCAGATGAAAATTTAATACTAGGAGAAAGGACAAAACCAATAATTATTGAAGGCTTGAGAATTACAAGCTTTTTATTTGAGATATTGACAGTCGTAACTTACAGTACGTACTTTCAACGATGCCCCCCCCCCCCCCCCCCCCCCCCCAACTAATGTCATTTGATTTTGAATTGGATTTGAGACTCAAAAATATTCTGATTATTAATCAGAGCAATTGTAATTTTCAAGACTTCTAACCATTACATTACCATGTTCCACCATACCATTACAACTTTCTTTCATATAAAACGTAGCTAAGAAATAAATAACATAAGTTAAATCATTTACTTTCATAGTTAGTGCTACAATTATTTCCAGCACTTTCATCTGACTTCGTAGCTATATATACACATATATATATGTATATTGCTTTTTGATGTACGAATCGTAGGAAATGATTTCATGCTCGACAGCATCATGTTGTCGGAAGATTATCGTAGATGTGGAAGTATACTTTAATGAAATGTTTAAGTGGCTATTGCACGTTATCAAGTTCATTTATCTGTTAGAGATAATTCCAACACTTGCCGAAACGTTTCTTCTTCTAACAATCGACGCTGCTCTTCTTCTAATTGTTGTTGCTCGGAAAGTCTTAATGCCAATCTTAATTGTTCTGCTGTGTCTTCGAGAGAATCAGCATCTTCTATATCATTCGTTTTATTAGAGTTACTTCGACCGCTGGCACACCCAGCAGTATTCTCCTGGTATAGCGCTAGACTTGCTTGGATAGCTCTAGATTAAACAAAAAGATAAAAATTTATAATTGAAATCAAAAGTTTGCAGAGTAACATTATTCTAAGTACTTTAAAGTACAAAAAAAAATTAAAAATGAACCACCGATTATATAAAAAGAAATGAACCCTTTCAAGTTAAACTTTTCTTCTAACATGTACTTTTGTTTCTTTTACATGTGTAAAAATGTTTGTTCATATTTTCTAAATATCCCTCGGTAAAAATAATACAATACAGCCTAAGAGTATTTTTATGCAACTAATATTTGTAACAATTCTTCACCCACCTTCCTGAATTTGAATTGTCGAGCAAGAACACATGCAAAATAAATGATTTAAAACTGTTCAAACAAAAATAAAATATCTGAAATAACATTGCTGTGGATGATACTTTCCACGTACCTTTGTAGTTGCCTTTCTTCTTCTGTCGTCATGTTAGGAGTCGTAGGTCGAGATGGTTTTTGGGCTCTTAAAGCTTCCCATATGTCAACCTGAATAGTTGAGATTAATTAAAATTTAAGTTGCAAAATTGTATAGAAATTAAAGACTCCTACCTCGTCACGTTCGCTTCCAACTTCTAGTAAACTTTGTTGAATAGCAAATTGTAACAGATCATCTTCTTCTTCCATACTAAACTGAGTCCGAACTTCAGCACCTATTTAATAATTATTATTAAACAATAAAATAAAAATTTTCTGTCAAGTGTAGACTTGATAATTTTCTTCGTTTATGAGGATTAAACATACCCAGTTTTACATATCCCACTGGAGCTTCAAAACAAATATCGTCAACTAAACAAGTCATTCTATTCGTTTCTTGTAAATGCCCCACGTGTGCTACTTCTTGATCCATGCCAAAAATATTTCCAAATGTTATCCTTGCATTTAGTATATGAAACAGAGGAATTTCTATAAACGAAAGAAATTTTAATTCATTGTTTTTAACGTATCTTTTAAAGGAGAATGAATTTAAAGGCTTACCAATCTTAACAGGAAATCCAGCGGGTAATTGCATTTGGATAAAATCTTTTAATTTTGCAAAATGTGAACTAGATATTGCCATTAGATCGACAATTGGTATAATTTGTTCTTGAAGACTTAATGGATATTCTTCACTTAGCCATAAAGTTGCCTGTGAATTGCATTCGAGTGTTAATAATACATGTTAGATAACAATATTACTCAAATATTTGCTTATTTATAATACCTTAAATTTCTGAATTTTTGTATTAACTTCTTTTGGTCTACCTATATCTCTTCCATTTAAATCAACATCTGGGTCAAAATACTCTTCAGCTGTGATATTACAGGGATTTCCAACGTTGCTATATTCTTCCTAAAATATACAGTTTAACATATAAATTTTACAAAAATCGTATATTGTATATAATAACAGATTTAAGAAAGAACAATTACACTAGTAGTTGCACTAATACTGTTCTCTTGTTGTTGTTCCGCTATGCTAAGAAATGACTGAAGAGGCGTACGAGGGGCACGAGCCCTTGCTTTATCGGGCTCGGATAAATGTTCTAATCGAGTTTTTGTTATTAATTCTACGTTACTTGCACTAAAAACCTTGCATTCATGTCCATTTACCATTTCACTTTTATCAGAACGCCAGCCCCATAAACCAGCTTTATTGCTAAAAGAAATACATATAATTTTATATAAATAAATATAATTCAGAAGTAATTATACATTTCAAAATGATATAATTACCGTTCAAAACTAATCTTTTCAGTATCTATATATGTAGTAACTATCGGATTTGTAAGCCGAGCTAATACACCCTCTTCCGCTGGTTCCATTAGTTGAATGTTATCAGCATCAATGAGTTTCATATGCTCCACATACACTTTTCTTGTTTCATGATCTACTTCCATCATTGTTGCTCCGTCATCTATACGAACAAATTTTATTTTTATATCGTTGAAATAATTATTCGTGAAAAGATTTAAAAATACTTAGAACCTCCCACATTATTCTACGTTACAGAGTTTGAATTATTCTTGTATTTCTATACTACTAATTGCAACTCTAAAAATCTTTTCTGAAGTATTTTACAATATACAGAACTACTTATCAATTACTTATTTTGATAAATTTACATACAGTGTTATAAATATTACTGTTATTTCTATAATTACACAGTGTCCACACTTACCCCTTAAAGCATCAATTTATTCTATTAAGCACTTTAAAAATAATAAAATTGCAAAGAAATGATAACAACAGAAACATAAATAAAAATAAATAGATAGAATGAGTCTATGAAAGAAAAGTTTTGCTACTTCATATAAATTAAATTTTATCTACATTTTTATACATCATATTATTAGGTGTAAAAATAGTTCTGTCACCTGACTCTTGTCCCACCATACTGAATACATAACTCCGTTCACATCTAATTGCCACAGGTACATTTGATGCAGCTTGCATTTAATATATACAATTAAAAAATAAATAAAAGAATCTACTATTAATATAAAAGGAAATACACTGAACAAAAAGCCTGAAGATTGAAATAAACTTAAGAAATATTAATTTTACATGCCGAGTAACAATACTTTCGATACTTACTTTGTCCTTTAAAAACGTAACTACGATTCCCGCGTTGCCAATTAGCGTGATCAAATCCCAATAAAGTGGTATCGATTCTCACGTTACTGCCCTGTTTATATACTTTATAAGTGTCGCTAGGGCACATTTTAGAGGCAAGAGGAACTAATAATAGATAAAATGTTAGTTTTGCATTTGTAACCAAAAATAAATGGGGAAATTACACATTTTTATAGTTACCCCAACTAGTAAACTCCCATTTCATTTCTACATAAAAGTCAGGAGCCTGAAAACATTATTTAATATTACATATTTCTTCCATACCATTATATATTTCACTTTTTTTTTCTAATAAACCTACTTGTTTAAGTTTATGAAGCAATTCTGGAATACCAGCTGCTCGATTACAATATCTTTGATAATCTCTACGTGCTAGCACCATTTGTAGCAATTCAGGATTTCCTGTGCCAACTGCTTCTTGTACCACTATAATAACGACAAAGTTAAAATCAAAATACCGATTGATCTAAAGATTTAATATATGAAATTATTACCAGTCCATCCTTGAGTATTTTCTGTATTAACATTAGCATCGTGTTGCAATAACACTTCAACACAATCGGTATAACCCAAAGTTACGGCTAGCATCAACGGTGTTCTTCCTCTGTTATCAACCTTTTCAATATCATGCTAAAAAATAATTTTTTATTACATTATAATATTATATATGAGAGATACCTATATATGTTAGAATTAATAATCAATGTTATAATTCTTTTATAAGCCTTATCATATCGAACCATATATATATTCAAACTATAATATCAAAAGTTCCAAGTCACTGTACATTTATGGTTTCCCGCTTGTATAAGGCTTCATTCATGAAGTTTTCTGATAGCATTCTAAATTATTTATTTCAGTTGCTATTACAAGTAATTAATATTCACATAGTTTACTTTGAATCTTAGTAATTAACTCAACGAATAATTGATATAAACAGGTAGAAATACTACTTATTTTTTCCCCTACTAATAAACATATGTTTATCATGTATAAATCTTCATTACTTAATCACTGTCATTAGCTAAGTATTCCAATATCAATAGGATACAAATAATCATTCATCATATTCATTTTATTAAAAGAAAAAAAAAACAACTGATATATACTTATTTCTCAAGTCTTTATTGTTGCCTTTTTGTTTAACAATAAGTACAACCGCTGATAACACTATAACAGATTAAAAAATTGAATGACATTTTCTGTTTTACAAACCAGTTTCGAAGATAATTCCTCTTCGAGTTCTACATAGTTGTTATTCCACACGAGCCAATGCAACGGATAAGTCTTTTGTATCGTATCTATATTCACCATTTCTATAAGATCTCGTTAACGGTAACATGTAACAAGAGCAATTATTATAAATTCCACGATTCAAACACACAACACGGAATTTCATCTAGAGAATACATGTCACCGAAACGAAGAGGTAGCGAGTGAACATGATTATTCATCGACCGGATAAGACAACTAGATAAGAAACTTCGAATCTCATATTGAATACAACGAGGGAAGATGCAAGTGGCGCTTATAATATCTAACAAACGTTCTGAAAACCATAATTTATTTATTCATTTTTTATACTGCAGTTCACGAGAGATCATACCTAACTCACGCAGCTCGCTAGGTCTAGGGAGATTTTTAATAACGTGTGTGATTCCCCTCTACAGCTTGCTTCTTACTTTGCGATCATATAAATGGTGGGCAGAAATATATGACGTGCGATAACTGATAACCGGTGATGGTATGATAAATATACAAGATATAATTGAAATGAAATTGAAAGAATTTTGAATATAGAAAATAATTTTCGTGTAATGAAGGGAAGATGAATCAAGAATGAAAAATTGCAAAATTTTCTGTCCACAGGTTATATATTCGCGGGTTTCCGACCGGTGTTGAGCGCATGCGCATTACCATAGATTATAAAGTATATATAACCGAAACACAGTCATATGCGCAAAAACGAGCGAAAACTCGTCATCTAGTAAGTATGGTCTCTCGTGAACTGCAGTATAGACATTATAATTCATAATTTTAAAAAAATCATATTTGATAAATGATCTACAGCAGGGAAAAATCAATATATATGTACATAACTAAGCTGTGTGGTTGGATTTCTTGGAAGAAACAACAGGTAGTAAAATTTCTAACTTAATTCATTACAATTGGAGTTTATTCAAATGGTAATAATTTTAAATGTAATTTTAGGTAAATTAAAGAGGTTATTAGAAATGTAACAAAAAAAAGGACGCTTTTATGAACGTTCCAGTATCGCTCGAATCAGTGACTCTTGTATCTGTAGTCGCTGCTCGAATGAACGTGCTGAAATCCCGGATTGTCGGGCACCGATTGACGTCACTGATAGGCGGCCAAGATGGTTGTCAATGTTGATAAGTGGTTTGGTTACATGGAGAATCAGTGATAAAGCCGCGACCGATAGGAGGCCGATGCGAAAGAAATTATGCCTGTAAAATAGAAATTAGATTCGCGTTGAACGAAACAAGGGGTCGTCATCGTGGCGCGGGATGGCGGACGGCGAGGATGCGGAACTAGAAATCCGTCGAGCCTTAGATGTCGTTCAATCCATGATTGACATCTCTGCTGATCGACTTGAAGGTTTGAGGACCCAATGTTCGACCAGTGCTGAACTAACTCAACAGGAAATTCGGACACTTGAGGTACTCTCTCAAGCACTGTCGTCACCCCGCATTGTTCCTCCTTCCTTCCTTTATTATCTTTAGAACGATCGCCTTGACCTCGTGAAAGGCTGTTTCATGAATGTCAACAAGTTGCAAATGCATTTATTTATTAACTAGAAATTTATACCTGTCTACACGTTGACAGTACATGCATGGAAATCTTTTAATATCTTTATTTTGTTAATATCGCTACTTGTCTCTTGTATTTGTAATAGTGATTTCAGTAGTAATGAAAGAAATATATCATATTTACTGTAACAGTATGATTTTGAATGCTTTCAAGAGATTTGTTCAAGGATAGGTTCAATTTGTATGAAATTAACTTATTATGATATTAACAAGATTGTGGTCCTTTCGAAGGCCTATATTTAATTTTATTATTTATGTTATTTAAATGTATTTTAGGGGAAGCTTATAAAATTATATTCAAAGCAACTTGTAACCAAAGCCAAACTGGCTTTAGAAGAATCGTTACCTCCAGAAATGAAACAATATCCATCTTTGCAACAATGGTTACGGGTAGTAGGACTTACTAAAGAATCTATACAGGTATAAAGAATATTCTATTTGAATATTTTAATAGAATGTTTTAATAGACGTCTACATTAACTACAAATTTCAGATGATTTGTTCTAAAGCTAACTCGCTTGAAGCTCTCAAAGAAAAATCTGAACATGAACTAGGTAGTATGTTGGGTGAAAGTAACGTTAAACACGAGGAAGAACTTCGTAGACTTTGTAGGGCATTACACAATCTTCGTCGATATATGGGTAAGCAAGTATTTCATACAGTAGTATTTATACATTAAGATGTGTATTTTACCTAATAATTCGCTTTAGATGTTCTTCTAAGAGGGGATATGGATAACAGTGATATGAATTTGTATTGGGATTCCTGGGATAGACATCATTTACGTACTGGAGCCTCTCCTAGGCCAGCTCGATCCCGTACAACAAGATGTTCTGTTCCTTCAGAAGACAGCATTCCATATCATAATAACAACAATCTTCACAGTGATATGTTAGCACAAGCTTCTTCCATTACGTCTTTATTATCAACTAGTCCCCCTTCTACTCCTCTTTTACAAAGACCAGGATGTGGTAAATAAATTAGTAAATAAATTAGTAAAATGTTAAAACATTCTTCTAACTAATGAAGGATTCTATTTTTATAATAATAGGAATTAAGTTTCCAACAACTCCGCCTCCTTGTAAAAAGCATCAGATAGGTTTACAAAACACGATATCACAACCGGAAGTGTTTCCTTTAACTAAGTCAAAATCTCACGAATCGCAATTGGCAAACCGACTTGAAAATGGGGATTCAGCTTCAAGGTAATAATTTACTTCTAAATAATTCTTGTTTATAAAGTTTAAAGGTATACATTGTTTTGATGATTTTGTAGTTGTGGCAATGATCCTGTTAGTTGTGCAGGAAGAAGAAATCGCCTACCTACAGAACCAGGATCTTGCAGCAGTAATGCAGACATTGCAGGGGAAAGTCTCTTGCTAAATAGTAATAGTCCTATTAAGTCACCACCTTATTCTAGTGCTGAAAGTGATGATAACAGTTTCAAGGGAACAGGTAAATATATATATATCACTATTATTAAAAAAGAAAAACTGTAATTTTGTAATTAAAATTATTTACAGTAACAAGTCTCCAAGTGCCAAAGTCACCACGTACGCCAACAGTAACCCGCGGAATGGGCCATATAATTGCTCATCGCTTTACCAAAACATTTAAAATGATGACAACCTGCGATTACTGTGAGAAGCAAATGTTTATAGGCACTGGTTTGAAATGCAAAGAATGTAAATATAAATGTCACCGTGATTGTGAATCTAAAGTACCACCATCTTGTGGCCTACCTCAAGAACTCTTTGATGAGTTTAAAAGAAGTGTACAAGGTGACAGTATGTATAAACATTTTAAATGAAACAATCATTATCATAACGAATTCTAAATAAAATAATATCTTTTAGGTATGGTAAATGTTTCTCCGATATTAAGCAAACCTGGTATAACATCTCCTAATCACCATAATTCAAATTTATTGAGCTCTTTGAATCGAAGAGATCGTAAACGATCGCATCCACATTCTTCTATGAATATACCTTTTCAGGTATGTTATTTATAAGTTTGAAACGTGAATTATAATTTGACTAATTTATATTTATCAGGGCGCGGATTCTAGTTCAAATACCTCGAGCTGCAACAGCTCAACGCCTTCTAGTCCAGCTTTGTTACCTGCCAATACTAGCCAAACCCCACAGGCACCTGCCAAACAACAGTTCCATTTTCCAGGTATTATACAGTGGCCGGTCAATAATTCCTAGAACTTTGGAATCAAGCATTCTTTAGAGACAGGGGAATTAGCAAGCGCCTATCGTATATTGTATTGCAATAACTCAGCATTTTACTATAATTTCATTGCAGATGTTGTGCTTAATGACAAAGGTGTTACATTGGAGACTCACCGACTCGAAGGTACGACTATATCAAGTGATAGCGAAAGAACAGTGAGTGTTTCTGGATCTGGCAGTGTTAGCACAGATTCCGAACGAACTCCTGTTAGAGTTGATTCTCAAGATTCTCAAGTTTCTGACGGAGAACCAGGAGATAGTCGTTGGCCACGACAAAATAGCGTATGTAACTTAATAGGTAATTTGATGTTTGATTATGATATCTAATCGAATTGAATGTCATAGTTATCGATGCGAGAATGGGACATTCCTTACGATGAACTGAAAATTGGAGAACCTATAGGTACTGGGAGATTTGGTACTGTGTACAGAGGCTATTGGCATGGTAATGTTGCAATTAAGGTCCTGAACATGGACTATTATTTAGATGATGATAAAACACTGGAAGCGTTCAAGTTAGAGGTACTTATAAACATATCTCTTATTATCTGAACTTTATTATAATAAGTTTTATTAAAAATAGAAAGATCAATAATGTATTATATTATTATATCCAGGTGGCTACATTCCGAAAAACGAGACACGAAAATCTAGTTTTATTTATGGGAGCTTGTATGAAGCCTCCTCGCTTGGCGATAGTGACTAGTATGAGCAAAGGCATGACTCTTTACACTCATATTCATTTGCGTAAAGATAAATTTAATATGAATAAAACCACTATCATCGCTCAACAGATTTCTCAGGTACATATAAATAAATATTTTGTATAAAATTTCTGTTAATCTTGACACGTACAATTTTTTTATAGGGAATGGGATATCTTCATGCTCGTGGTATAATTCATAAAGATCTCAAAAGTAAAAACATATTTTTAGAAAATGGAAAAGTTGTAATAACAGATTTCGGTTTGTTCAGTGTTACAAAGCTTTGTTACGGAAATAGGCAAGTTTTGTATTTCGAGGAATATTCAATGTAATATACTATATATTTCTTACTTTTTTCTTTTAAACAGAAAAGGAGATGGACTGAGTATACCACCTGGCTGGTTATGTTATTTAGCTCCTGAAATTGTTCGACGACTGAAACCGCAACAAAATCGGGATCAGGAAGAATTACCTTTCTCAGAAGCTTCCGACGTTTATGCATTTGGGTTGGTAAAAAGTTATGTTTAATTTTCTATATTTGTAATGTATCTAAAGAGATACTTTATTATAGCACCGTATGGTATGAACTTTTATGCGGTGAATGGCCCTTTAAAGGACAACCTCCTGAAGCAATTATTTGGCAAGTTGGCAAAGGAATGAAACAAACTTTAGCTAACTTACAAGCTTCCCGTGATGTAAAGGTATACAGAAATCATGTTTTATTAATAATTTTTGTAGTTATGGTTTTATTGTTATTTATACTTATTGAAATAATTGTTGTAATATTTGTATGCGTTCATAGGACATTTTAATGCTTTGCTGGTCATTCCATGCAGAAAATCGGCCCGACTTCGCAAAATTGTTAACTACTCTGGAAAAGCTGCCTCGCAAAAGGTTAGCACGTAGTCCTTCTCATCCTATACATCTTTCTCGTTCCGCGGAATCCGTGTTTTGAATAAATTTAAGTCTATTTAAATACACTGTTGTTCTCGTAGTGTAAATATAGAGCTGTGCAACTATTGCCAGATCTTTGTTCGTGAAAGGTAAAATAAAAATAATCACTGAAAGGTTCATTTGTCTTCTTTAATTAAAAAAAAAAAATTATTAAAATCGATGATCTTTTAATATTTCAATAACGTTTTTCATTTTACACACAGAACTTGCATGAGAATAAGTAACAAATTTATAATATAAAATAATAAAATACTGAATTTAAGATAAATTATAATACATAAGAAAAGGATGAATGATTGACCATGTTAGCAATTATTATCCATTGCATACTTTTTGTAATTCTTGTAATTGTCTTCGAAGGTGAGCAGCGCGTAATTTATTTAAAGCTATTCTTTTCTCAAATGTTAATACCAAAGGCTTAGTAATTATGTCCGTGATGTGCACCAATGACCGTGTTCTCACTGGAATTAGTAATTGAATTTACTTTCTATTTATAGCAATTAATAAATATTAAGGCAATTAAACTAACCAGCATTATTGTGTATGCTGGCAAGAATATCCTGGTGATTTTTGTACGTTTTCGCCATCTCTTCTTCTTCTTGAACCAAAATTTTTAATAAATCTGTCATAGTCTAAAAAAATATATTAAATATTTATGATTAGAGTCACGTATCAAACTTAATATATACTTGTTATTTAAAATCCCTACTTTTAAACATATCTTCGATATTATTGGAGTGTATACAATTTCCAATGGAATTTCTCTTGCTTCATCATTGTGAGATTGAAAACAAGTCAAAGAAATTTCTTGTTCCTACAAAAATACAACTTTGTTTATTCGTTTAAAACAATGTTTAATAATCTTTATTTACCTTAGATTCTTTACTTTCTGAAAATACTGAAAATATCAAACCTACAAAACCAATGTCCATCAACTGGTAGCTTGCTTGAGTTCTAACATCTAAATAAAGTCTTCTTATTATTCAAGTGTTATGTTTAATAAAATTTTCATAGTTCATAGAATATCAATTTCAATTTACCAACACGCGATGGACAAACTGTAATGTGTGGATGGGAATGATACCATCCAAGAACTCGTACTGGACGTTCTAATACTTCTGTTAACCGTTCTGCTTCGTTAACAGCTTCCGTTAACTGTTCAGGTGAAATCTCTACTCTGTCTCTTTTTTTATCCAAACGTCTCAAGATAATGACTGCTATGATGTTAGCAACACCGTTTACTGTCTAATATAAATTAGAATTAAAGCAATAGATATTTTCTTTTTTATACGCATAAAAATATAGAAAATTGTATGACAGTAAAGTCATAAACGTACATCCCCAAGCAGCAGACCCATTACTTCGAATCTTTCTGTTGACAAAGCATGCTGCAAGCATGTCATATATACATCAGTTTGTAATTCTACTTTTTTTAGTGGGAATGCAGCCATTCTGTAATCTTTGTTTTAACCACAGTGTAGTATTTACAATAAAAATATGGATCCTATAATCAATTATAACATTAATTCTTAACATTAAATAAGTAAGAAATAAACAGTGTTTTTATTCATTAAGCAGATAGGAAGTCGATAAAGAAAAGAAAAAGAAAAATGTAACTTTGTTTATAAGTAAAAGAGAAACACTTCGATTTGTAATGTATACAAACTTCTTAAACACAAATACCAATAGTTTCTATAGAATTCTTTATATATTCAATTTTATAGTTATTGCAAAAGATATTTTATTAAACAAAGATCAGTGATTACAGATAGTATATAGAAGACTGGACTGGACATGCTTTTCTTCTCAAGGAGTCGTGAATTTGTGCCTTGAGAACGAACGCCATCTGCTTTATCCTAGCATAAAAATCAGAAATACTGCGTACTGCAACAGTCTAACGCACTTTGATGGTAATAACAGATTGCTTCGATATCAAAAACTATACCCCATTACTCATTGTCAGTCAGTGTTTCGAGTATTGAATAAACTCATTAGGAGGACGAACGTGTTGATTTTATTACTCCCGTGTGCATTCTTCACATCCCTGATTCCTTTACATCTCTGCTCCCCTTATAAACCTGCATTATTTACATCCAAGTATTCCTTACATCCCTGCTTTCTTGATATCTCTGCATTCCTTACATCTCTGTATTTCTCACATCCCTGCAGGCTAACCCTATATCACTGCATCCCTTAGATGTCTGCGTCCCTGCATCTCTTCCATCTTTGTTTCACTTACATGCCTGAATTCTTTATATTCTTGCGTCGTTTACATCTCCGTAACAGAGCATCCCTTCTTTACAGGCCAAGACCCATCCCTTTCAATTATTAATTATTTTATCCTCCTTTATGGGCCAAGACCCACGCTCCCTAACTAATTCTTATCCTACTCCTCTCTATGGACCAAGGCCTCCCTTGGCAAATATTTATTTCTTCATTCTTTTTATGAGCTTATCCTTATAGCACTGCATCCCTCACATCACTGTCTTCCTTACACCTCCGTATCTTTTACATCCCTTAATTCTTTACATCCCTCCATCCTTTACATCTCTGCATCCCGTACATCCCTTATGTCCCTGCAACCCTTATAGCACTGCATCCCTCACATTACTGACCTCCTTACATCTCCATATCTTTTACTTCCCTTAATTCTTTACATCCCTCCATCCTTTACATCTCTACATCCCTTATGTCCCTGCAACCCTTATAATAAATATATTACAAAAACTGGTTCGAGTAAAGGTAAGTAAATTTTGAATTTTTGAATTTTCAATTTTTCGCCCTCTAGCGGGAAAAATGTGAACTAAAATCTCGACCTCGAATCAGCGCCATCTGGTTTTAGAAAAAGGAACTAAATCAAGCCGAGATTTTGGCCCTCTAGCGGGAAAAATGTGAACTAAAATCTCGACCTCGAATCAGCGCCATCTGGTTTTAGAAAAAGGAACTAAATCAAGCAGAGATTTTGGCCCTCTAGCGGGAAAAATGTGAACTAAAATCTCGACCTCGAATCAGCGCCATCTGGTTTTAGAAAAAGGAACTAAATCAAGCAGAGATTTTGGCCCTCTAGCGGGAAAAATGTGAACTAAAATCTTGACCTCGAATCAGCGCCATCTGGTTTTAGAAAAAGGAACTAAATCATGCTGAAATTTTGGCCCTCTAGCGGCAAAAATGTGAACTAAAATTTCGACGTCGAGTCAGCGCCATCTGGGGACAAAAAAAGGAACTAAATTTGTAACAATTTCTTACTCAAAAAGAACTTACGGATATGACGGATGTGAGATATATAAGTGAGAAGGGGTTTAAGGGATGCGGGGATGTAAGGGTGCAAAGATGTAGGGAAAACAGGAATGTAAAGGATGCAGTGATGTAAGGGTGCAAAGATGTAAGGAAAACAGGAATGTAAAGGATGCAGTGATGTAAGGGTTGCGGGGATGTAAGGAATGCAGAAATGTAAGGGATGCAGGGATGTAAAGGATACAAGGATACAGTGATTTAGGGAGTAGTCTCTGCGAGGTTCATGAAAAGAATGAAAAAATCAAATAACTGCAAAAGGAAGCCTTGGTCCGTAAAGAATGGGTATAGGATAACTGGGAAGTGTGGTTCCCGCGAGGCCCATAAAGAGAAATAAAATAATAAATAATTAGGAAGCGTGGGTTTGTCCCATGAAGGAGAATAAGATAATTAATAACTGAAAAGGGTGGACTTTAGTCCATAAGGAAGGATAAAATAATAAATAATTGGAGAAAATGAGGCGGGGCTCAGAAGGAGAGATAAAACCTTATATATATGTATAAAGCGCAAAAACGTCCGTCCGTGTCACTTTTCAACTTGAGAACTACTAGGTCTGCACTCCTCGGCGATCGCTATAAGACTGAGGAGGTCGCACCTCGTTCTAGGGCAAACCTCTCATATTGGGAAGTAATTACTGTGTTTTGATTTAAGTGTTTGATTAAAATAATTGTTTGACAAACTTGCATTTTAAAAAGACCGCCTAAAATTAAAATCTTTCAAATTCGATCCTAGCACCATCTATACAAAAACGGCTCAAACTACTCAACAAGTTACCGACTGACATTCTTTTATCGAATAGTTTCCGCGGCTTTTGTATAGATGGCGCTAGGGTCGAAAATTTTAATTTTAGGCGGTCTTTTTAAAATGCAAGTTTGTCAAACAATTATTTTAATCATTTTTCCAGCCTTGTTGGACCTGTAGTGGCTGGTACTGAATAACAAAGCTATATACAGTCACCATACAATTAAAAACATTTATTTCAAAAGAATTTTCGTAATGAAGGGATTGCTTAATGGTTGTTGTAAACAGAAATTTGGATGAGTTTTATTTATTATAATGGTAAATTGCACTTTACAGAAAATACATACTCTGGTGAATCATGTAATTAGAAAAATTCATATGTTTATTATAGTCTTTATTTAAAAGTAATATGCATGGTTTGAAACAATATGACACAAGAAACTGAAATGAAATCCATGATGGCGACGCTGATCGAATCTAAAGTTTCTTTTTATAAGTGATTTAATATGCATGTAGGATAGTGTATATTCTTATTGTAGGTGTAATTGCAATTGTGTTCTACGAGGGTGAGTATAAAGTATAGAGCATAAAGCTTATACTAATTTAGTAGTATAAGCTCTACCGTGTGAAATGCATCCCCTAAACCTTAATTAATAAGCTCCTAAAACTACATCCATTACTGAAATAAAGACACTTATATACAACAATATCACTTATTACAATGAAAGTAAAACATTTGAACGTTTTTACTCCATATTTTATTGTTGGCACCCGGTGATCCCGAGGTATTGCCAAGTAGGGATACTTTACTGTATATATTTTACCACATACGTAGTTCGCGCATTTGCCACACGGTACGCTCTTTTCCCAAGCTTTCTATTTTAGAAATGGACAGCCACCTTCTCTTATTTGTAAAGCTAGAAATTTTGCGAAGCAATCGCTAAGAGCGGTTCGTTATATACAAGTTCTCTTTTCTCTAAAAATCATTTTGAACAAAGGAACTTTTAACTTTTTACATATTCGTAAGAGTCACGCAAAGTTGTTCCTTTCTAGACTTCACAGTGCAGCAATGTAGACAACCAATACTATAACGAAATCTTTAAAGTTTCAAACAAGTACAACGATTTGGAGGAGGAACTAAGAACTTACGTATTGCACGAGCAAAACTGGAAGTAAAAGTAAACCGTATCTTTCAAAGTTTCTTGACGATCTATAAGCCATTGTAAAACATGTCCGTGACCTTTGCTCAACGCGGTAGGCCGCCACCAAATCCTGCCCAAATACAGAAGGTAAAGAATCCAACACATTAATCTCATAATTGTTTTGTTATTTGCATTACATATCAACATGTTAGCAATAATTTGTTAAATAATTTTTATGATTTATATACTGGTGTAGATGCTTGATGAAAATAGTCAGCTTATACAAACGATACAAGAATATCAAAGCAAAGGAAAACCACAAGAATGTATACAGTAAGTAAAATTCATGTTCAGCATTTAGATATGTAAAAAGTATATGTTAATATAATAATATATTTGTGATGTAATCTTTCTTCAGGTACCAACAAATGTTACATCGTAATTTAGTATATTTAGCATCGATTGCTGATGCAAACCAAAACATACAAGCTTTATTACCAGTAAGAAATATTATTATGATAATTATGAGTATAATGCATAGTTATACATTTATTAACAATATTTTTACTTGTATAATAAGCCTCCACAAGGAATTCCTAATGGCCCTCAACATGGTATGATAAATCCACAAGGTCTACCCAATGCTCCTGCAGGATCAACCGGGCCTGGAGGTGAGATACCTCCAAATAATCAACCAACATTACCAATGTCAAGTTTTAGCCAAGGACAGCCAATGACACAAGGAGGATACCGTGGCCCTGTAATGCCTGGCCAAGGACCTGCTATAAGTAGTAAGTTTTATTTTGACTTAGAATTCTTTTCCTAAAGCGATATTGTATTTAAATCTATTATTTTGTATTCTTTAAAAGGACCACCTAATGCACCTGGCCCACAACAATACAGAGGACCTCAAGGTTACCCTCAACAACCTTCGCAACAAGGTTATCCTGCTCAATATGCCAATCAGAATTCTGGATCCAATTATCAAGGGCCGCAAGGGTCTGCATATACTCCAGGACAGCCCAATCAATATGGACCACCAAATACATCGCAACAGCAGGGATATAGTACATCGACACAGCCTAACTATGGACCTCCAACTACTGTAAATAGTTATGGCCCTCAACCAGGTGGATATCCACCACCAGGAGGCACTCAGCCTCCCACAGGTTATGGCCCACCACCGCCCAGTCAACAGGGTTATCCGCCTTCTAATCCTTCTCAACAAAACTTTCCATCAAGCGGCCAACAACAACAGCCAGGACAATATGGTAGTCCCAGCCCGCAACCAAATTATCAACAACCTCCATCTCAAGCTCCACCTCAAAATGCATACGGAGGTGGTCAACCTGGAAATTATCCTCCTCCGTCATCTCAAGCATATGCAAATAGCGTTCCACCTCAGAATTACCCAGCTCCTCCTACATCCAGCGCTCAGCCTCCTCAGCCTGGTTCTCAACAAAACACTGGTCCTCAACCTAACTATGGTAATCAACCGAGTCCTGGTCCTGGTGGTACCCAGTACGGTCCAGTTTCTACATCTCCTCCATTCAGCACTGCCTCTGCAAGTGGAGTTAATACTTACGCTCAAAGTAGTCAACCTACAAGCACACCGTCTGCGTCAACTCAAACTTATCCACCGAGTAGTGGTCCACCGCCTACTTCGCAAGGTGGAAGTTACGCTCCTCCGGGTCCTGCTCCATCCGGGTATCCAGTGCATCAGACACCTCATCCGACGTCGCATCCACCGCATCAACCCCCACATCAGTCTCCGCACCAACCTCCTCATGGTCCTCATCAACCACCTCATCAACCATCCCATCAGTCTTCTCATCAGCCTCCTACACATCAATCACCGCATCAACCACAACAGTCTCAACAACAATCTCAGACACCGCCACAGTCGCAACAACAATCTCAAAGTCCTGCGCCAAGTGGATTTCAGCCACCATCAGGACCTCCTCAAGGTCCTGCTCCACCGCCAGGTCCTCAACCACAACCTGGATATGGTCCAGCCACTACTCAGACATACGTACCACCGACCCCGGGTGGACAACCACAGGTAACAATCTTTTAAGATAAAGATTTGTTTATCTAATTATTGTAGATATGTATATTTTATGTTATTTTGAATTGTAGGTATACACTCCTCATCCTCCTCAGGGTGGCCAGCATTATGGGCATCCACAGTATCCTCCTCAGAGTTATCCACCACCACCAACAGGACAAGGATATCCCCAGTATCCACCACGGCCACCCGGTGGTCATATGCCTCCTCCTCCTGGACCTCAAGGACCTCCACCACCAAATCAGTACGGAGGTTATGGATATCAACCACCCCCACAATAGAGTATATGTTAATGTAAATTCGTATAATAATCAAATTTAATATAAAAATAATTCAGTTGCAAATTTGTAACAAATGGCATGTAAAATCTTAATTTAATTCTTAATAGCGTATCGTCCAGTGTTACATAATGAGACAAATAATAGAAGATTATATGTGATTAAGGAAAAGTGCTGCTGGAATTTCATTGAAATTATTTAATGTTTATTGAAAAATACTTAAATTTTTGTACACATTGTATCTTCTAGTTTCAAAAATTTCCATTAATTATTTGATTGGAATATTACAGTTTCAATTTCATGCATTTGTGATTACATATTTATATAGGTATATGCAGTGATTTCTATGTAATATTATTTCATATATTAAGGAGGTAAGCTTATTGCAACCATTTAAAAATGTGTAGCTTGGAAATTTCGGTGTGCGTAATACAGCATAAACATATCTGTTACACCGAAATAAAATGTATGAAATAAGATACAACATACACTACCTATTTATGGCTTCCAATGTATACGTTTGCCTTAAAAATAATTTTATATTTACTTACCTAATTTTATATTTTTTTTATTGTCATTAAACAAATTTATGGATTTGCATATTGCTTCTTATCTACTCCTTGAAAAATTCGATTGTTTTCTCTTTTCTTGTTACTTCGCGAGTATATATTACATAGATATTTAAGGTGGATAATAATACAGATTCTTACATTAAATTTTTATTTGATAAGAGTATGTATTAAAAATAGAAAAGGATCTTACCAATATGTAAAGTAGAAATTAGTTAATGTAATTTTTTAATATTTTAAAATCCGTCTTCTTTCCTTCTACTATTTGCTGTAAAATAAATATTGTCTGTCATTTACAGAATTACGTAAAAATTTTAATTGGTACATATTTTTTACATACCAGATACTTAAACTATATCCACGAAGTTAATAAAGCTAAAGCTCTTCTTTAAATTTTGTATTGTCATTATAACATTTACAAGAATGTTTAGGTTGCAGCACTTCTTCCATGTTATCTAGTACCTTAACTTTACTCTTTAAGCGTTTACTCCATTCCTAAAACATAAAATATGTACATGTTATTTTATAACATGTATTTGATAAAAATAAAGTTGCATCCGTTGAATATTTGATAATCTTTCTTACATAAAACAATGCTACATGATAGCAGAATACGTTCTGTGGTAGCAAATTATTTCTTACAAACTGTCTAGCAGATTTAACAATCTCTTGTGCGTTTTTGTCGTGATTTTTGGCCCACACGATCTTCTCCACCAGATCTGACAAATCACTTTTAACTAGCACATAATGTTCTCCAGGTATAAGATCATTGTAAAAATATTCATAATATTTTGATTCTTGTTTTAATACTAAAGCATCCCCAGCAAGCAGATAGGGAACTCTATATGCAGCTACTGAACCATCGATACTTAACTGATATTTGTACTGCAAAGGTGTTAATACCGTTACATTTTGTTAAAATTATATACTTATTATATCATATTGTTTTACCTTAAAAAAATCAAAGAAGGATACATGGCTTTGGCCAGGGCCATATTTATCCATTTCATTTTTGAAGAAAAAGAAATTTGTAATCGAGGCATTAAACAAGTCAGGATGTTTTCTTGAAATGTCGATTAAATCAAGTCGTTCCCTAGATGAATCACGACCACGCCAAAAAACTTTCTCTATCTTTTTTTCCCATGGTGTATCCGTATTACCTTGCACAGATAATATATCTAACATTACCCTGTTTTATATACATCAATCAATGTATAAATTGTTCAGTACATAATCTTCTAGACAAGTTGTCTGAAATATGGATATGATCTATACCTTCCCATCGCCTCTAATGATGATTCTGTAAGGTCATAAGTGGGCATGACGATATCTCTTGTGTCATAAGAGCCGCACCAAGAAAAGATAGGGTAATCCTTGTTGTTTTTTGGAACAAGCGGCCAGTCTCCCAAGTTTACAAAAAATTCAATATCTGGCAAACTGACTTTTCGAGTGACAGACAACAGAATGGAATCCATGAATATTTTGAAGCCTACATATTTGCCATGACATTCCCTGAAAATCTTATTTCACCTAGTCTTAGTTCAAATACAGTTTCGAACTTAGTACAGTAGTACTTACTTTGTTAGATTTAACTACGTAATGACAGAGACTGACACTTCCAGGCCTATCATATGCTTTTACAATATCTTCACGTATTTTGTCAAAATCTACATTTGTAAAATCAGCAAGATCGTTATGTATCTGAGTATAATTTTTTGCACATTCAAAATTGTCCAACCAATTATTAATATCAGGGTTCGGACAATAACATTCTTCTTCATAAGTTGGTCCTAAAAAAATTTTATATGAATCTTTTGTTACTTTATGAAAATAATAACTGGTACAATAGACATTAAATTTAACTATACCTTCAGCTTTCAACGAGAGAATAGGTGAATTATGCTGTTTTAATTCTATTATTAATTTTAGATTGAAGCATGTGCTGTGTAATTTATATCTAACAATGAAATTCCCATCTTTGCAATCTAAAATTTGGGTCCATATATGACACAATTGGCCTGTTGAAGTTTGCCCTTGTGTGGAAACAGAGATCACATCTTTTCCAGGTGATTCTGTTAAACTAAAACCACCAAAAATAATTTTTAAATAAATGAAAAATTCATAATGTGAAATATTTATAATTTTATATATAATAAAAAAAAAATATATACTTTTTTCCTTCTGTATCAACAAACTGCAAGAAAATATATCTTGCCCTCATTGTTATTTTATCTGGTTTCAATCCTGGACCCGAAATTATTGTTTTCGATGGATCTATTTCAACATTTCTTACTTCTCGACAGATGAACAACAATAAAATTGATATAAATATCATTTTTACTAACAATTAATCATTTGTAATTCGAGTAGGACACACACGGTGGTTGATGTATTGGAGATACGCTATAAGTATAACTTCTCACACGTGAATATTAAATCGAATAATTAATGTAACATTTATAGAAAATTTAATTGGCCTATTATTTCTTATGAAATTCATATGTATTTGTTGAAAAGCAATTAGCTGTAAAAGAATACTTATTTTTGAATAAATTTATTTCATTGCTTGGGTTCTTAAAATCGCGAAGTATAGTGACGAATAAACGCCCGAAGTTGATGAACTACAATAACTTTTTTAATGATGTTTTTATTTATGCAAGGATATTTCATTCAGTGATAAAATAGACATAAAAAGAATAGTTATTGAAGAATCGATAATAAAATGAAATTTTCAAGTACCACACCTAATGATAAAACTGAACAGGGTCTAAAGCTCTTTTAATCACTGTCAAATGAGTGTTGTTTCATGATAGCCAGAATGTAAGGATCCATGTCGCGTAATTGCTTGGCAATTTCGCACGGCTTTAGGTTATTTTTCTTTATAAAAATCCTAATAATTGTTTGTTTGCTGATTCTAAAAAGATAGTTTAGTAAAATGTGCACAGTAAACATGAATGCTTGCTCTACGACGAAAATGCCGAATTTGTTACATACAAAATTCTCTTGATTCTTAGGTGGAGAAATCTGAAATTGTTGGAGTTACTGAAAAGTGATATCTCAGGAACATGATTAAAATACAAACAGTTTTCTATCGTCTCAAAAGTTAAAACATCAATAAACATCGTAGTAATTTAATAACGGGACGATTTTAATGAATATTTAGTATAAAATGGAGTGTAACATCGACGATTTACCGGACGTTTTATTAGAATATATTTTAAGTCTGATTCCACCGTACAAAGATCTTCAGGAATGTAAGCTTGTATCCAAAAGATGGTTCCGTGCCACTAAAAGTACGTACATTTATTTTATATTATATATACACAATGTTTCCTTGCAAATAAAATTCTTACTCCATTAATAGATGTGATACAGCACAATAAAGCACATTTTCATAAGTCCGTGGCTTACGGTTCGTTACTTTGGAGTCCATGGCCATCTACGCACTGGATGCCTACTATTGCCAAGAGACATTCTCATTCTGCTTGTACATATGAAAACTCTATGTATGTTTTTGGCGGATGTACAGCTACTAGTACAACGTTTAATGATTTGTGGAGATTAGACTTGGACACAAGAACATGGGTTAGATTAATCACTATGGGGAATTACCCATCTCCTAAAGCTTGCGCTACTATGTTGTATTATAAAAAAAGCTTCATTTTGTTTGGCGGATGGTCCCATCCATCGCCGTATCCTTTACATCAGGTATATATAAGTCCAATCACAAGTAATATAACTGACATGTCGCTTATAAATTCCTATTGTTACATGTATTTTCAGCAATGGAAATTATTCAATGAATTGCATGTGTATTCTATAGAATCAAATAAATGGAATGCTATAAATACATTGGAAACACCTCCACCCACTTCAGCCCACTCAGCATCCATCCATAAAAATCACATGATTATTTTTGGTGGTATCTGCAATGGAGATAGGTAACGTATTTAAAAGTATTAAATTTTTCTCTCAAAGTTTAATCTCATAACAAGATATTATTTTGAGGTAGATCCAATGACGTATGGTGTTTGAATCTGGATTCGTACAGTTGGCATAAACAAGCCACATCAAACTTGAAACCACAACCGCGCTATGGTCAATCACAAATTGAGCTTGGAGATAAACATCTTCTCGTTTTAGGTAAAATATCGTATCTATTATATTCGTGAGAGATTCCTTTATCACAATATAATTTGACAAAGGATTTATTATTAATATTTCAAAAATTAGGAGGCTGTACTGGTCCAAATGTTGCCATGAACGATGCTTGGTTGCTGAAAATGGAAGGTGAAACTTGGACATGGAGAAAAGTAAATATGCATAATACAGAATGGGCACCGACGCGTATTTGGTGTCATCAAGCTTGCAAAGTAATATCTTATTTCAAATACTATTATTTACAAGTTGTAATATCCTATATCATTTATCTATTTTATAATTTAATAGGTGGGAAACTATGTTATTGTTCTCAGTATAAATAAGTGTCAGAACAAACCAAATGATATGAGTATATCACTGAAAAAAGTTACTTGTCAGAAAACAGTCTCACCGCAAACAAACGATTCTTCTGTACATGGAAGGTTTGTGGTCGTTTAAATTTACCGTTAACATCAGTTTTACGTAAATTTAAAATTATCTTTTGGTTTCAGGCAAGGAAATGGACCTCAAATTGATAGAGATGTAAATGTTAATGGTCGACATGGATCTTTTGCAAGGGTGCCTGTGAAAAATCCACGTCCTTCCTCTCATCCTTCTAACTTTACAAAGAGTTTAACATTATGCAATGATAATGTTTTAAGTATGGCTGCTTTTCGTGATGAACCAGTGCGTAATGGCACCAATAGTAATAGACAAAGGCAATTAGAATCTCTTCGTAGAATGGAAGAAAGTATTAGAAATCGAAGAACGCAATCAAAACCTGCGAAAAAAACAGGAAATACATTATCTATATTCGTGTTGGATATTACGAATGTCTTGTGTGATGAATGTACAGCTTCATGGATTCCTTTGAAGTATAACAATCAATCAGGTCCTGATGAAAGAATACTTTATTCGCTTGTGGCGGGTCGAGGTGAATTGATAGTATTTGGCGGCATCCGTAAAGAGCAAACATCTATACAAAATCATTCTGATATGGATGAATCTGAAGTTTATAATGATCTCCATTTTATAAATCCGCCAAGATATGTAATTTAATATCTTGTAACAATAAATAATATAATTCAATGTTTAACGAGGAACATCTTTATTTTGTTAGCGATGAGTTTGGTACTGCCACAGATTGCTCACCGCAATGATATTAACTTGCAAATAAAAATGGTGGTACTATAAAAAAGAACTTTACAAACTATTTATTTTTTTCTTTCAATTTTTTTTTTAAAGAAACAAATTTTTGTAGGCATGATTGATAGTTTTAGATATATAATTACAAATCTTGTTTATTGTGAATTTTATTATTCACTTGTCTTTTGCACATTATAATTTACCTACGCCTTAGTCGTCTTCTCCTTCAGTTGTTTTTAAACTACCAAATACTTGTGACGGAATACTTTGTTTCTCGACAGGTATATCTGAAAGTAAAAAGAAATTAAATAAGTGTGTTGCTACAAAGAGTGTCCAACATAATTTATAAACATATTACATGTAATAAAATGTAATAAAAATCTAAATAAGTTATCAGATATTATTCACTACCTTCTTCCACGTCAACTTCATTGTCATTAACTTCGTCTACGTCAATATCAATCTCATCTGGATTATTTACTTGAGATTCCGGTTTGCCATCTTTTTCAGTTACACCACGAACGAATTTAATGCTATCCTTGTACGTAGTAACGTTATCTATAAAATCGTATTATTAACATGAAATATTTAATTGTATGAATTAGAAAATATTTATTTACAAAAAAAGACATATAATTAGGTGTACAAATTAATTCGATGCCTTTTCTTTTTTTAATTAATGGCTTATTTTTAAGAAGTTATAATAACCACAATTATTGAATTTATTGTTATCGATATCATATTCTCGCGCCATTTTTCAAATTCACTAAAGCGCGGGAAAATATTCGAATTTAAAATAGTAACGATTAAAAAGTAGATAAATCAAACCTGTACTTGGTGTTTTACTATCTAGAAGTCGCATTGCATCTAATGGTACATCGGATGGTGGATTCGTAGCATTGTTTAACATTTGAGCAGACATCATGTTCACTTGGGTATTGTACATAGCTTGAACGCTGCGTTTAATTCGAAGCATTTCACGCATTGTATCTTCATTGCCGTGTCTCACTTCAAATTCTTTCCATATTTGCCAGAAATTTGATGTTACCTACATAAAACAGAAAAAATGTTAATACAAAAATACAAAGAAGTTTTAGGTATCTTACCCTTGGATCGCATATTTGGCTGCAATGCGCATATATTGCCCTAGCTCTGTCGACTTCTCCCAACTTCGTTTCCATTTCAGCAAATCGCAAGCACATTTCTCTCGTATTCTCTTCGTTAAGTACTTCTATGGCTTTTTCGTAAATCTGTCTCGTTTTTGGAACGCCATATATATCTGCTGCTTTCTTGATATATATGTTGAACATCTAAAATATAAAATGCAGGTATTAATAACAGAGTAAGGGTAACATATCTGTTAAATACTGTACCTCAAATCTTTCTTCCGGGAGAACAGCGCTTGTTGCTCGTTCATACACGGACATAGCATGCCTGGCTAGACCATGTTCTTCTTCTAATTTGGCGTATAATAAATACAAAGCTGCAATAAATAATAACATAAATAAATGAATAATTGTACGGTAAATATTAAAATCTAATACCTTTGGCATATTTCGGTGGACAATGTTCCAAGCACTGTTCAAATAAATCTCGTGTTCGTTCCAATTTTGTGCCGCCATAACGTTTTAAAAATTTAGTAAGATAAGTATTCCATATATCATAAACATTCGGCCATTTGAAAAGCGCGATTCCCTTTTCGTATGCCTGCAAAAATGTATTATTACTAACAACGAAATTATAAAATAGATTATAAAGTAATACGTACCCTGAAAGCTTCTTCAAAGTACTTATTTTCCTCTAAAAAGAGACCATAATTAATAATGATTTGTGGTGTCGCAATTTTTAAGTCTATGATTTTATCGTACACTGCTTTACATGTCTGCATAAAAAATTAAAAAAATGATAAGTATGTCAAACGAAAAATTATATAATTTCATATTTTCAAAGATATACCTTAAATGTACCAAAACTTTCTTCCAGATCGGCGTACATAGACCATACTTTCAAAGATTTGTATAATCTCATTTGTACAGTTTCGGTTTCATCATGATAAGCTACTTTACGGAACGGCATAGCAGTGGCACGATGCATTAGTTTTAGAGCTTCTTTATAATTTCTGTACAAAGAAACTTGTTAATTAAAAGATATAAACCGCACTGTTTTCCGGAATAAAGAGATACAATACCCATGCCTAATTTCCATCTCTGCCCATTCACACCACACAGAAGCAAGGTCATCGACTTTGGTATAAGGAACGTGAGTGGCTTTCTCGAAAACTACTCTAGCATCTGCTATTTGTCCATTTTCTTCATAGAATTTGCCAAACGCAACCCACAAGGTATGCAGTTTACCTACTGCTAATTGTGGTTGCACAGTTTGCACGGCTTCCGTGTACGTATTGATAATCTAAAAAGAAATTTAATAATAAATTTTAGAGAGTTCTCTATTAAAATTAATAATAATTTACTGTACCTCGTGTGGTTGCCCTTCATAAAGCATAACCCTTTTATGCCATTCTTGCACGTTATGAGGATTTTGTCTTAATAGCACGGAATTAAGTAATAATAAACGTCTTTCCATTAAATGTTCGAATCGTGCTAATCTTAATTCCAAATCAATATCATCTATAAAACACAATGTTACAAAATTAAAAACTATAAGTTTTATGGAACAATAATACATGTATCTATACTTATACCATCTTCAGTAGGATTCTTGGAAGCTTCTTCCATACGTTTACTGAGGCTAAGTTCTTCAAACTGCGCGTAAGCATCAAAAACTTGGGTAAAATCTCTAACAGTAGTTACTGTCTGAATTGCTTCCTCGTAAATGTCTCTTGCCTATCAAGGAGCAAAACATACGATTATAAAACTTTCAAGATGAATAGTCTACACAGTAAACTGTCTTTATATTGTATGGTATTACAATATGCGAAAATAGTTTATTACCCTTTCAAATAAACCACTACGAACGTAATAGTCTGCTAAAGAATTCCATAAAGGCCCTAATTGATCAGTATAACGTCTTAAACCACCCCTGATAATAGCATCTACATTAAGAGATTTTATTTTAGAAGGATTCTTTGATATTAAATCACACAATTCATTCCACAGTTGATGGTTTGATTTTCCATGCTTCGATACAAAATCATCTTGATTAACAATCTGTGCTAGTTTTACAGCCGCTTCGTCCAGTTTACCAATTGATATTAGATACTCAATATATTCTTCTGTGTCTTCCGGAGCTAACTAAAGACAAAATACATATTATATTTATAAAGGAACGAATGCAGGTTTTAATCCTACTTTAAGGTTTTAATATACCTTCAGATATCTTCTAAAAACTCTGATAGCAGTCTCATATACATTATGTTTCTTTAAAAATTCAATATACAATGGCCATATTCGATGGTGCTGAGTGATAGGAAGAGCTCTAAGCGCACGATCAAAAACTTGACGAGTACGTGTAATATAACATTGTTCAGTCATCAATGTACAATAATCCATCCAAATTCGAGGCATTTTATGCATAAAAACTAATGCACGTTCGAATGCATTATTTACATCTTCGTAAAGAGGATCTGTTATGCATCTTCCCTTCAATTGGCTCACACGTTGACGTAGGTAATTGTACCATAACTTATAACTGTAAAATACGTAATACACTGTGAAAATTTCTTTAAAATACAGCAATGGATATACATACCTTCCAGGAAGTTCTTTTAACGCACGCTCGTATACAATATTTAAATTACTACTTTTAGTGCTTTTTAAATGATCTATATAACGTTGCCAATGTTTCACAGAATAAGGATTTCTTAAGATTTCCTCTTCATACGGTAAATCTTCTTCATTCTGTAGGAAATAATATCATGTAGAATTAAGTAAGGTTATTCACGCCGAATATACTTACAAAAACGTATAAGTTTCCTTCTGGATCTTTGCGTTCCAACATCGTTGAAAGTGTGAATAAATTATGTATGATGTATTTAATTTAGTTACAATTATAAATCAATTGTATTCTGTATTTACAATTAAGTGTTAATAGGTTATCCTCTATTGTTTTGATATAATTTGTTCCAGCCGCGCTATGTCAAGGCGCTATTTCATTGATCATTTGCATTCTGGAATACTGTACTCATGTAAGGTTAAATCTAATAGGAGATCATTATGTATTAAAAATTTGATGATATTTCTAAAGTTATTAATAAAATTACTACTTTAATAATAGAATAGTATGTTTAATGTATTTTCCTTCCTGATTTCAAAAATTGATACTGCTGGTACGTTCTGCTAAAATGGTAAAAAGAGAAGATTATTTGGTTACAAAAAATCGAGGTTATATTTAAAGATCAAGTTGCACAACCTGTTTACCTCGTTTTAGAACAAGACACCTGGAGCGTGACAGCTGTCATATGAAGAATATGATTGAATGCAGTCTCTTTTAATGTAAACAATTTTATTCATGCCTGTTTTATTCGTGATATAAAAATCAACTAACTGTATTTAATTGAGTATAAACTGCACTTATAAATAAACGTTGTGAAGGATGACAATGGGCGATGAGACTCCAGTTACATCACTGGTTTTTCCTGTCATTCTGAGACCAATACTGATGAAGGTATTCAAAATTATTGTCATTCACTAGTCCTAGTATGATTTAGAATAGATTGTTCAAGTAGAAAATTGTATGTAAAAATATTATTTTAATTGATTAACGTACAGCTGGAGAGGCAAAATGTATTGGCTGCTCAGACTTTACGTACAGCTTTGTTAAAAGCTGAAAATTCTCATCCAGGAATTACGCTTGACTTAATTCTTGGCATAATACAAAGAGCAGAACTTAATTTGGATATGAATGAAAGTGTTTTAAGATTGCAAGGTGCAGCTTCTGATTATGATGGTATAATTTCATTCCTACTAAATAAAATATACATTATTAAATACTGGCATAAAATGGTTTTAATTTTTTTTTTTTATTACCATAGTTGTAGAATATAGATCAGCTAGATCCGAGGATGCTTTCCAAGAATTGAATCGTAAATCAACTTCATTAAAGAGAATACTTAGTAGAATTCCTGATGAAATAACAGATCGTAAAACTTTCCTTGAAACTATCAAGTATGAATTTCCATTTATGAATTTCACTAGTAATATGATCCTGTATTATTAATTTCTAATGTTTGTTACAGAGAAATTGCAAGTGCAATAAAAAAACTTTTAGATGCAGTAAATGAAGTAACTGCATTTATAAGTGGCTCTGCAGGGAAACAAGCATTAGATCAAAGGAAAAGAGAATTTGTTAAGTACAGTAAAAGGTTTAGCAATACATTGAAAGAATACTTTAAAGAAGGGCAGTAAGTAAACTTTACATTTTCAATGATTTATTTGTCATGTTTACTACTGTAGAAACCTACTTTTTTCTTAATATTTTACAGAGCAAATGCAGTATTTGTGAGTGCACTTTATTTAATACACCAAACAAATATGATTATGCTCACAGTAAAAGATAAATGTGAGTAAATGAACACTCTGTTTTACAATAATGAAGCTATTCACAGCAATTACAAAATTCGTAATATTTTGATTTTATTCATTTTGTTATGTATCTGATGATAAGATTTGAATGCCATTGAATATAATATATACATATATATATATATATATATAGTATTATTTTGTATGTATTAATTGTTATAAAATAATAACACATAGAAGAATCCATAGACAGTGAACAAAATTCAAAGAAACCCTTCTGTCCAAAATGAATAATAAATAAAGAAAAACATTGTTTATCAAAGATAATGGACATTCAAAATAAGGGAGTCATTTCTCCAAATGTATAAGAAATAAAAATTACTTTATTGATAACAAATGTACACAAGTGTGTTGTATTTCCCACATAGAAAATTGAATGACTTGGCTATCTACATCTTCATTGTATTAACAATGACAATGAGTAACAGTAAGGATTAATGGTAATTGTTGTAATGAACATTAAAAGGAAAATATACAACATTTCAAGCACGTTTGCTGTCTGAAAATGCTCTTACAATACTGCCAACACCGCTTACATTGTATACCTTTTCGTGCCAAATTAATAAATGACTACTGCTACCTTCTGTTGGAATTTCAAATCCTCGATAAATATATTTCATTAAAACATCCACTAAGTCTCGATCTAATTGTGCTAAGCAATCTTCCATCTGATTAGATTTTATACTTAGAAGAACCTTCAGTGTCAAATTCCGTGCACTGTCCTGTAATAATTCAATAATTCTTTTTAAAACATCATACACGTAAAGCACAATTTCCACTTTTCTAAAGAAACATTACTTATCTTACCATATAAACAGATTTACTTCCAAAAATATTAACTAATGTATGACATTGAGGTTACCTTAACTTGTTGATTTTTACATCCAAGTGGTGCAGATTTTAATACTGATATCAAAGCTTCGGCATTCTTACCCTTGATTAAATGTTAAGGAGAATATAAGAAAATGTGTTGTAATAATATTATATGTCAATATAAGTCATGGAAAGGATATTGGCTAAGAAGTGTCAAAACTTCATTTTCGTCTGGACCGGTTGGTCCTCCCAATCCTCCGTCAGCGTCTTCCTCTTTGAAATTATTATCACTATACTGATCAACGTCGATTTTTCTAAACGCAGATGCTGACGAGTCCTTTTTACCATCGTTCCTTGACATTTTCACTGTGTGGTTGACGTTTTATCGTGATCACGCCCGGCTTATCAACTAACGCATTGCATTGGTCTTCGCACCTATACATATATCACTATATATAACTATATAGTGAATTCTTCAATTAAAAATGCACTAAAAAATACAAATAATATTATCATAACAATTTATATTATTACTTTTACATTATGTTTATTATTCAGGGTAAAATTATTTCATAAATGGAAAATTATAGGCTGTAAAAAGCAAATACTATGATGTAGGCATTAAAAATTCCACCAATCAAAAGTGTAAAAAATCACAAAAATTTGGTGCATTTTTCTTTTAATTTTAATAAATTATTTGAAAGAGTCTATTTTTTAGATTGTAATTACATCAGCTTCAGAGTAGTTATTTGATAAATATGTTTTATATTTAATTGTAACAAACTCCATTGAAGAAAAAGGTTAAAACATTTCTCTGTATACCGCAGTTCACCAGAGTCCATAACTGCGACGCGCAGGTTGGAAAATGGTGGGGGAACGCAGCGAGCTCTCTGCCAATCGCTTTCCACTTCGTTTGGGAGTATCGCCAATCAGGGCGAAGATGCGTACTGGAGATGCGCGAAGAACGAAAACTGGTCTTTTCGCAGTTATGGACTCTGGTGAACTGCGGTATAATCACCATATCGATATCTTACATAAATGTATCAGTATTTAAATATATTAAATCCAAACATTATTTTATAATAAAAATTACGCTGTTTAAGTTTCAGTGTATTCATTTGTTCCGTTGAAAAAGGTTAATTTAATATATTTTTATAGTGTTTTGCATAAAATGAGTGCATTTCATATATTTTTGAACATTATAATTGAAGTATGAACTATCCAAAATTAATTAGTAAACTTCATACACCAAAAATTGTGTGGTATCAAACAGATATTACAATTGTTATACGTGTTTTATTGCAAGATGTTAACAATTACTTTCTTCATGTTGAATGTGATCACTTATTGTTTAGGTATTTTGTAAAATTTATTGAGTCACATTGTACTTGTAAATAAAAATAAGTGACCCACATTAAAATATTGGTTTTAGCACTACAATAAATTCAAGACACTATTACATTTGTTTATACCTTTTTGGAACAATAGTAGCAGAAAAAACAACTCACATAAACAAAGGAAGAGAAATTAAAATTACCCTTATAAAGGCTCACAAATGTAAAATATTTATCTGTTTAATTTGTACTTTTTTAAAATCATAAGCTGATATAATCTTTTTGACACTGATAGGGACAGAGTGGTTAAGATTGCATATCGATAAAGAAAAGAATCCTTTGATAACTGCGGACCCAGATCATATATATAAAAGTAGTTGGACTATGGAACCTTTAAGATTTGGTAATTTTATTCCCTGCATGATTGTTTATGATCTTTGACCACTTATTAAACTACAAGTAATTTAATACAAACTGTTTTGTGGTAGAAAAAGAAAGTTTTGCAGAGTATAAGCGTAGAAATAATATAACACAAATAATGCCAGATGTACCATCTAGCGATGAAGAAGAATCTGATGATGATGCAATGGACGTGTTGTTTCTTTAATTCATGTAAGTATATACTACTACTAAATATTTATAAATACGTTTTAATTTAAATAAAAACAAGGAAATTAATTATTTGTTTTGAATATAATATTCATAGTATATGTACAAAATTTAATATATCTGTTATTTCAGATTAATTTAGAGAGAGTACAAGTTGCTTAATAACTGGAATGCTTTTATATTATTTTTATCATATACAAAATGAGGTATAGCACAAAACATGGAACTGGAAAAACTATACATACATACATAGATTTTTTCTTAATACAGCCCTTCATTAGTAACATTGCTCTTATCTTTGGCAGTAGATATTTCGATTTTTACATAGTTATACGTAATGTCTCCATGGGGGATTGGGGACTGTGAAAATAATATCATTTAAATGTTTCAACAATACATACAGTGTTAACATGAGATAAACAGAAATATGATTTAAAATAAAGTAGTCAAATATTTTCTAGTAAAACATAGATTACACAGTGTACGATAATAATACCGTATGGTCTTACGAAGTACCCAAGGAACTAGAACAGATCACGATTATATCATAATACAGCTACTATGAATAATTTCGTGATGCAATACTAATAATATATTAAAATTTATTTTTACAATAAAATAACTACCAGTAAACATCTTGTGTGATGTTTTTGTACTAAAAATGTAAATCCCGATGCAAGGTACAAGAGAAATGCCTAGAAAATAAAAAATCTACAAATATGATTAAAAAGTAGTTTAACAAAATTTGTACAAAATATTCTACACATAAATTACGGGAATAGAGAGAGTAGGTATTTAGTATTGAAAGTGTAAAAATGAATGATAGTGTATAAATTGCAAAATGTATAAATAACGAACTCTGCTCCTATTTCAGCTGATTTAGCTATAATTCTAAATCTATCAATGAGCGTCGTTTACCATCGCCTCGTTTATTTAACTACATTAATATTATGAATATATTACTGTGGTATTCGATTAATTAGCAACCTTCTAAAGAAAGCCTTTGATTTATATTTTCAACTCTTATCTTCATTTCCCTGAGTAGATCTTCGGCAAGGTTATCAACAGTGGTGTACCTTACTTTAAAGAAATTAAATATATCTACAAGGAATTCAATAACCTGATCTCTAAAATATTGACAAGTAGAATGTAGACTTCCTTCCGGACCTAAGAAACCCCATACTAGCACCGGGGAAATTTGTTCAGAAATTGAATAAAAGTGGGACAAAAATCCTTTATCATATTTTAACATCCGTCTTTTACCCACAATCATTGTCCAAACTGCAGTCCCGATTGCCTTGAATACAATTCATAAAAATATTAGTAAAGAAATCAAATTACAAGACTATTATCATTATCATACCTATTTTCATACTTACAGTTTCACGAAAACTGGCCGATATCCACCTATTCTGTAAAATAGCTCTAATCGAAGAGGACGGCTTTTCAACTTCTTCGAACGCATCCAACAAAATGAAATCGATAAGAACATCATAGAAATTCATACACTTAACGCCTCTTGCAGTTAATTCCTCTTCCATGATACTATGATTACTTGATTCTTGTAGAAACTCCAACATCCTTTCATAATGTATTAAATAATCCTTTGGATCCTAATATTAGGGATCATTTGTTAATTATCTATTACATGCTATTCTATGATACATACACTAATTCCATTCTTTTTTTGTACGAGTAATGATATATGTTGTGTATACCCTGTCTGCATACATGATCAAATCGCTAATAACTTGTCGGCCTATGTCTGCAATCCATGCTGACGCAGACGGTATAGTGAACAATTTTGTATACGCTTGTCTCAAACAATAAACTTTTGCTAGATATTCAACATCCGAACCGCATCTAACCAGTTCTGTATGTAATCGCCTGTAATTAATATAAATTACAGTAGGTGGACTCTTGTTATATCATCGCGTAAATAAAACAATACTAGTCCATGTAAATTCTTACCTACAAGGAATACCTATGTCTTCGTGTTGCTTAAGTGCAGCATGGTACAGTCTTTGCTTTTCGAAATGAGGAAATAGCTCGGCGAATTCTTCGAATTCGCGTAAATCAGCTACCTGGGTAAATAAAAATATTAATTAATATTTAATATACTAGGCCGCCATTCGCTTCGTGGCTGACATACTGGAGCGAAGCGATTGATTTGCAGTAAAAGTAATTTTAACATAGTTGGAACACAATATAGCAATTAAAAGTAGAAAACCCGAATTTTAATTTACAGAACACAAATTCAAAGCTCGCGCGATAGCGCGATTAATTTATGATTTTATTTTATATAAACACTCACAGTGACCACTGCGATCGGTTTGCAAAGAATGGTCAAAATTGATAATCTAGTTTTTGAGTTAAAAAGTCACCAAAAAATCCCTATCAGTCATAATAGCGGAGCTTCGCTCCAATTAAATATTTTTACAATCTATTATTTTACCCCATCACGCGCAGACTCGAATGATTCAGGGGAAGATGCAGCATCCGCCTTCTCTTTGCCGGATATCCGGGTGGCTATGTTCGAAGGTTTATCTAAGCTTTCTTCGCTTTCATTGCGGAATAACACCGAATGCTGTAATTAAAATTGTTGAATGTTAATATAAAAATTATTAATATTCATATTATTTACTCATATAAAAGTACATTTATCAATGGACGGAAACGCGAGCACGTACATCGAGCTACTCATATTCAATTGTGAGAGCATTTTATACGCTTAGATTCGAATGACCGCAGTCGCGGTGCCGTGAACTTCCTATGTAATAGTTCCTCCTTGCGTCAGGTCAAGTGACTCATTGCGCTAATTACACGCGGCCAGTTATCATTTAAATTGGATTAATTCCTGCACTTTTTTTGAAAAAGCAATTGATGAGTGGAGTAGAATGGAATGACACTGAGTGACGTAGAAAAGATTTCAGGGGAACGAATTCAAATTCGAATGCACAAAAGCGCGGGAAAATCTTCATGATAAATTAACGCGTATTCGCTTTAAAGAAAATTCGTATTAAAGAAAAAACTAGCATACCTTGATAAATTAATTATTGATAAATTGCATACGCTTCGATAATTAAAGAAGTGACGTAGAAAAGATTTCAGGAGAACGAATTCAAATTCGAATGCACAAAAGCGCGGGAAAATTTTCATGATAAATTAACACGTATTCGCTTTAAAGAAAAAAATAGCATACCTTGATAAATTAATTATTGATAAATTGCATACGCTTCGATAATTAAAGAAAAAGATAGCTTACTTGATCGATAAAGAGAAGTTCTGCGTGGCTCTGGATCTGATAACCCAAGTCAAGGAGTTCCTGGACATCGTGCGTAAATGCCGCATCCGCCTTAGACGGTAATGCGAGCGTATCATTATTGAGTGAAGAGCTGAACGCTGTAAGAGCATCCTCCCAACAATAGAGCGCTTTTTCCAGGGCCTCCAATCCTGTGAAACGTTTTACATTTGTCAATTTTCATTCTCCCCCGACGTGTAACGTTACAAACGACGAATTTCAACTCGTTTAATTCGTTTTCGCTAAATTGTACGTAGGCACACGGTTAAAGTAAAAGGGAAAAACGTAGAGTAGGTTAATCGTATAATTTCCATATTCGTTGCCGCTCACGCGACATCGCGTGATCGACAGTGACCGGCGGCAAACGTACGCGTTAATTATTTATTTATAATACTAAATAGCAAAATAAGAAAGATACTTTGCGACCATAAAAGTACCAAATGGATTAATATTTTCAAGGGAATCGGTGGATTAATTCGATTCACCAGGTTCTCGGAAACTCGTGTACTGCTTCTTTAACGATACAAATACGGTTTTCTCGGTTTGCCGCCGTCGTCGATGCAATATCTGTGTTCTCAATCTTGAACACGTATATGGATTTAACTGTATCTATGATCTTTATTGCATCTCCATTCTTTTTGTGTCTTGTTATTAACAGAGAATACTGTTATTTCTACGATTAGTACGTACAAAGGAAAAAAAAAAATCAAAGCAATGGTAAATCTTTAAATCTCGAGTAAGATAAGCTGCCATTGCTTTGTGACATAAAATACCATTGTTATTCAAAACGAACATTTCTTATTCGTCTCTTCCTTTAACGCAACCTTTCAACTCCAACCGTACGGTTCTCCGTTGAGTATGTATCGCTAGGACTTGTTACCAGAGACTTGTGCAGTTACAATCGGAGAATATATAGAAAGGGATCTAAACGCTTTCACTTTCCTCTCAATTTAGGCACCACTCGAAGCGTGCACACCTCTGGAGGTTCTCGTTTGTGTATGGAACCGAATCGCTAAAGCTTTCTACATAGGATAACTGTTTCTGGCCAGTTTTTTCAGTGGAAGATGAGAAATATTGATTCGACATTTCGAAACCGGAATTCTGACCTTTCCATCGGCACACGTTCGTCTGTAATTATTTTTTATTACAACATTCAAAAATTTCCAGGTAATTAAACTAAAGTGGTAATAGGATTCGAGTGTAGGCGGATGGGTTACGGGAAGATGTTCTCAGACAACCAGGAAATATGCCTTGATGGAAAGCTCAGACGACGAATGTCGCGACTTTGGTACTTGGCACTCGGACAAGAGGGCAAAGGTGTAAGGTTCAACGACTGATTTTCCAACGGCAGAAGATTTACAAATGAGAGACCCTGTTGGCCGGCGTGTCAGACCAGTCAGCAGAGTCGAGGGGTTGAGAGCGCCTACTTAACGTTGTCACACTGTCGCAGGATTTAAATTCCGAGTCGGTGACGGCATTCTGCGTATTCAACGTTTTGTCACTTGTAATTGGCGTACACGCGAAATTCGTCAGGGCGGAAATCGAGCGGACCGTATCAATTAAGAAGGATATCCATGTCCTAAAGGCGCGTCCATTATCGTCGATCTGTGATCAGAATAAACTTACTTTGTACCTACGTCAATGCTTCTCTATAATGTCCATTATATATCGCCACCGACATAAATATGCATAGATTTATTAATTTACCGACATCATCAAGAAGATTAGCTACGATCTCTGTTAATATATTCGGCAAGATGCAGGTAACCTCTACAAGGTGCAAAAACGAATGGACCCTCTCCTTTTCAATCGGTATTTTGATTTTTATTTCAACTGCCGCTGTCTAGAGGGGATGCACAAAGAAAAAAGAAAATATGCGCAACAGAGGGAGCAAAGTTGGGGTGTTTCCCAGTAACGTACCTACACAACGATCAATCGAATACATTAATATAAACTTAATACAAAATAATATACTTAGATACTAAGGGAACAATTTAGGGAAATAAAATTATGTATACAGTTAACAATCTGTATTTTAATTAGTCGCTTATAACGGAAGATCGAACTTAAAAACATTGAAATAATAAAGAAGATACATGTAGAATTTCTTAAAATTCAAATTCAATCGCTGTCATTTAGTTACGAACGCTTCGATAGTAATTCATATACCGAAAGTATGAGATAACCTAGAAAGTGTAACACGAACCGTGTCATTCAACTCGTGATTGCAACGTAAAGTGTCCTTTATTTAACGAAGAAGAGATTTTATGGGAGAGTGTTTCGCGTCCACGAGCCACCGTTTATATCGAAATTCTTGCATCCCCTATTAAAGAAAAGATACCCCAAAGTATCCAGCACTGCGATGCTGCCGGATGGTTGGCGTCAATAATACCAAAGTGACGTAATCCTTTTCGAGGTTGGTTATTGGAGGATGTGTCATCCAATGGGGAGGGGTCGATACGGCAGCTGGGAGGCGCGCGCGTTCTCAAAGTGTGTTCCAGGCACGCGTTGCGGCATCGCGGCTCGGCGCGCTGCTAGTGCGCTGCTGGAAACCACGGCGTCGTACGTTCGAGAGAGAGTGTATTACTTTTCTATGTTAGGAAGAGGGAGATCGAATGAAAGCAACACGAGAGAAACGAGGATCGCGAGAGAGTGAGCGCGCAGAAGAAGAAGGGAGGGTGGGACACATTGAGTCCTCGCGCTGGCGTCAGTTATTCGGCTTGCCGCTTACTTGGCGGGTGTAGTGCGCTCTTGTTACTTCCGAGGATCGTATCGTACTAACGGGGGACGTTGACACGCGACATTTACAAACGTAAAAAAATAATAGGGGAAACTGACTTTGTAACACACGTTCTGGCTACCGCGGTTACAGAATAATACACACCGGACGACACCTAGTGCCCAGACCGCGTAATCCCGGTCCCATTGATGCCAGTATTTGGACGCTCGCATTATTAAGATAATGCAATAGTAAGTACGATTGTTTCCTTCTTTACGATTTATTCGACACACCTTCGGGCTGTTTTACGGGCGGGTTCAGGAAAAAAGTTACTAGTTTACCCCAGTGGTTTCATCTATCAATGGGACTGCACACTTCAGACAACTATGTACACTATTATACATATGATTTACACTGAGATATAACCTTTCAAATATGAGAAACAAACATTCAGTAACATAAAAAACAATTAATAATATTTCGCCATGCTGTTCGATGAGTTTGAACTATAGGAAGAGGGAAAGCTTAGAATTCTACATTTCAAAATATCACGTTATTCCTGGTAGGATCTAGTTATACGAGAGGCAGGAAACGACGAGGCATATACCGTTTCATGTTCTTCCATTTCTTCTTCTTCTTCTTTTTTTTTTTTTTCTATTGATCCACTGGAACTGTTTGAGATCAGGTATACTTTGTGTATAGGTCAAGTTCAGGGGTCAGTACATCGTACCCGTTGGATCTTGAATAAAAGTGAATGCCGTAAATGTAGCAATAGCACCGCACCGGCAGATCGATGGAGGTGCCTGGTGCGCTGGTGAACTTGGAAATTTCCCTAGCACACGCGCACTTCCTGCACCCATGATATTTGCGTATCCGTTAGACAGCATTTACCCTGGTCACACGAGGAGTTATTTTACTTTCATTTTAAACCTTAAAGCATGACATGCGACAATTACGGTGTCTTCGACGTGTTAAGCCTAGACATTACACGATGGATACACGAACGTGGATGATCGTAAGCGTTCTATATGCAACTTCCGCGTGATCAGAGTAGATATTAACGTAAATAGAATTCAAAGGATATAATTGAACTAATACAGAACCATCTAGAGAAACGAACTTGAAGCGTATTTCCTTCTGGATTATTGATCGCCTGGCACTGGGGTTGATTTTAAAAGAAAATGGAAAATGCTAACGTTTCTTGGGGAAGTTTATGTTACATCTATAAATTAATGTGGATATGTCCTAGTGACTTGGTTCGTCTTCGTTTTCAAGATATGGAAAGTGGTATCGATATAAACCACAAATGGTCAGGCGCGTTCCAGTTACTCAACTTTTGCTTAATTATCTGTTAACATACTGATATAGTGTTTTTATTTAAATACACTTTCAATTTCGAATTCGAAATTGTTAAACTTGAACATTCTAGATATTTGCACGAATTACCCGCATTCAACACCCACGTTTCACTTTTTACCGTGAAAAGTGGATGATATCGTTCGATAAACAACGTGACCTCGTAAACGATACGAGAGTTAACACACGTGGATAATTGAATGGTTAAGTTAATGAAGATGCAGAGCGTAGAATGTTGAAAGAAACATAATCGCGTTCAGAGGATAAGGCACGCCCGATAAACAACACCGTAATTACACGCGCAACGTCGATGCTCTTTTATTAAGAAACCGTGTCAGGCAACACCGTTTGATTATTGAAATTTATCAGAACGATAATTGAATGTTATGAAAGCCTGTAATGTGACCTGGTAAATGAAAGGAACAGGAATATTTAATAAAAAAAGTATTTGAGACAGAAGAAAACCTGAGAAAGGTGAAACTTTTCCATCGATTGAACACCTTCGATGGTGAAACGAATGATGGACAGAAGGGGAGGAAAAAATTATTAATAAACCAAGTGACACCTTTCTAATCAATCATGTGGCTAGAACGTAGACGAGCTGTCGATGCATGCAAATTCCACGGGTAACTAGATACATGACATGATCGTGTCAGTTATTAGGTAATAGTGGATCCCCTGTCGAGGATGCTTCGACCCTGATGAGGCTAATAAAAGTGACATCATTATCGCTCGCCGCAACGAGCTTTTAACCTACGTAGCTCACTCTGATTTTCATAATCTGGTTCACATCGTCATGGTGCCTATGCACCATTAGTAGCAACCTCCTCTAATAACCAACGAATCATTTTTATAACAGGTGGCATTCACTGTAGGAGCCATTGGTGCCACAAATTTAATAATTGTTAGGTTAACATTAAAAAAATGAAAGATCTTACGAGATAAGCATTAGAAAGAGGGTGGAAGGTGTACACACGCGATCAAATCAGGCTTCGGCAAGGAAAATAGGGTCCCAGCTTACCACCCTTACTCCTAGGTTCCCCTAGGGAAAATGCCAATGTGGCACGAGGGGCCTCCTTTATATAGGCCCGTCGCGGCCCGCCCCTCGCGCATCAACTTTTACGCGGGAAAATTTGAATGCACATTTACTCCGTTATTCGCACTTTTCAATAAAATACTATATTTTGTAACACTAGAATAATGAAAAATTATAACCTTTTCTTCTAAATTACTTTTAATATTAATATCTTCCCGAGGGTAGCCTGATTTGAACGCGAGTGTACCTCCCACTTGGAGTTTGTCTCCGTAAAGTAGACCAATGGAGGTCACATTATATGGCCACGTCAGCTGCGAACATCTTCTGTATCTCGATAAAATCGAGGTTCAGTGCCTAGCACTCTATCCTTATGGTAGTTGCATAAAGGACTTATCAGACGCCATTGGATCTCTTGTTCCATATGTTAAAAGATTTCAATCTCTGTGATCGTATTTAGAATTATTTAGCACTGGTCCTGAGAGAATTCTTCCGTACTGACTTCAGAAGACTTTTAGGAAAAGTTTCAAATTGAAATTCCTTTCAATTCCAACGACAGTACCAATGGGTACTTGAATTCATTGAGATCATCATGGTATTAAAACTATTTTGAACGTCACCCTCGTAGGCGTGATCGGCACAAGGGCTCTCATACGCGCTGGAAACAATTCCAACAGGGAATTGTCGAGTATCTTGGAAAGTAGCGTAAGGTCGTCGAGGAAATACCGACAATGCGGCAGTGGTTGTTGGTAATTATTCATAGAAGCGATACGAGGACGACCGTGTTTATAGCTCGTTAATCCTTCGCGCCAATTCTGATCGATGACAATGGATCATCCTTCGAATCGAAGCTAACGGAGAAAGCTATCGAATCGTTCTAGCGGTTTTCTTTTTACGATGGGATATTGATGATGATCCTTTTTTACAAATTGCAACCAGCTGAATCATCGCGAGACGATTCGCGAAGGAACGTCAGCATAGGTAACAGAGAAAGGAACACAGGATCAACACCGTTATACCCAGGAGTAAATGTTCTACGTCGTTTCCTGAACGGCCTTTGGATCTCGTTTCTATTTCTTTTTTTTTTTTTACCCAACACTTTCACGAACGATGACGAAGGAGAATGGTCTTTTCATAACGCGCATAAACTGAAAGAATGGTACAGATCTTTCTTGGGATAAAAGAAGGTGAAAAAATAATTTCTCTATTGTAGAATTGCTAAATTATTGCTAATGGAACGTTAATTGCAATGGAGATTTACTTTGGACGATTTATCAATGTTGCTTCAAACTGATAAGATTTATTATCTTGAGGATACAAGGTACATACATTGAAGAATCATTCAGAGACGTTACTGCACTACTTAATAATTTTCCAAGAAAAATAATTAAATCCAAAGAGGCCGAGTGTCAGAAAACATGAGCGTTTAAGGAGTTCAAGGAGCATGAATTTCAATCTCTCGAATGAAGAGTTAAACAGAAAGTCCATGAATCCGAAGGTGGAGGACGTGGATTAAATCACGTCCGAAATAAACCGTCGAGGAATTAACTACGAAGCTTTCAAACATCGGAGTTAATTATTCGAACGGATTTGCATACGAAAGAAAAACATTCATGAAGCTTTCGAATCGATAACAGACGGACTGGTGAAAAAAAAGGGATATTATGTATAAAGAAGATGAAGCACAATTTTATACACGATTATTCTCTATAGCCGGTGGTCACGATTGATAACAGGGGACTAGTCCGATGGGTGGCTCTTAAATTTTCAATGCACTCACGGGCAATCGAGCGACGGAAATGAGTTTAACAATGACTGCAGAGAGAGACGATCCGGTTGCATAGACGCCCTTGACAATGATAAATAGATACTGCAGCTGGTGTTGTACACTCGCGGTCAAATCAGGCTTCCCCAGGAAAAATGGCGATGTCCTGGATTCCCACCCTTCCCCGCCGACATCTCCGGGGAGAATGACGGTGCAGCGAAATAGGCCTCCTATATATAGGAGTCCGGCCCAATCGTGCGCGCGTAAACGTTTACGCGGGAAAATTTGAATTGATATTTATTTATTTTTCGTATTACGCTAATCGAATACTGTAAAATTATTAATTTTCTAATTGGAATTAGTATCTATCAAAATAGATAAAAAAAAAGGCGAAGAGTGTGAAGAGTCTGGCCCAATCAGGCGCGCGTTAACGTTTACGCGGGAAAATTTGAATTGATATTTATTTATTTTTCGTATAATCGAATATACTGCAAAATTACTAATTTTCTAATTGGAATTAGTATCTATTAAGACGAAGAGTGTGAATAAAAATCAGGTATTAGTGATAATTAGAAATTCAATAAGTATTACTACATACGTCTATTTTCAACGCGTTAATTATGAAAATATTATTCCTGTGGAACGAGCTAATGGAAAAGTAATTTTCCGAGAGGCTAAGATTTTACAGAAATTAAACCTCCAGTTATTGATCGTTCGCAGAATTGCATTCGATCTCAGGGAAACGAATGATCCCACGGGAACAAGGATACAACCGGGTCGCCTTAGAAACGCGAAAGCTGAATCAATATCGAAATTCATCCATGAAAGTTAACTATCGAAAACAAATATCAGGAATGGGCATAATGAAAACTTGATTGCATCGACATAAGGCAATTAAGAATCAACTCGCAGCTGAATATGAATCATTGAGTATCCGATGATTAATTTAAAATTCATCGAAATAAGTCCAGAGTACTAATAGTAAACACAGAAGAAGAAGAAGAAGAGAAAAAGTTCACCTTGAGGATGTATGCAAATAAATCTAAACCGGTGTAAAGACGGAGAACCCGATGTAACTTACGCGATACTTGCGACAC